ATCGCCCAAAGCAGCTCCTTTGTTCGTCTGTGCTGTTGCATACACTGTCCCTTGAAAGCTGATAGTTATTCAGCTACTCAGAACATTACAAACTTTTACTGAACACGGTGGCTCACTTCTGTGTTCAGAAATGCCTGCAGCTGTCCCCTGTCTGGAGGCAACTGAAAGCAGTCCACCCCGTCACACCCAAGGCCTACTTCTCTAAGTCTCATTTTGTATTGCACCCACTTCCCCGTCTAGGCTTAAGTGCCGTCTGAACACAACTCTCTTCAAGTGGCGTCAAAGTGGCATACTTCAAGAAAAATATAAAATTGCAAATACCATTACGTTAAATTTCGTCGCTAAATAACCAAAAATCAGCCACAATCTACTTGCTGTCTGCTTACTCGACATACTCTTCGACACTGAAAATGGCGGAAGTACGTTCCTCCGAAACGTCGGTGTACTTCTATCGGACTTTGCTATGTTACACTCCGGAAGACTATGCTTTCATAACCAAAGCAGTGGGAACATCAAGGCTAACATTAGTTTTATTTACAAAGAGAGATGAAGTGACAGGAGGTTGGAGAAAACCGCATAATGAGGAGCTTCATAACTTGTACTCTTCTCCAAGTATAATTAGAATCATCAAGTGAAATAGGATGAGGTGGGCAGGGCATGTAGCACAAATTGGGGAGACGAGGAATGAGTGTAGGATATTGGTGGGAAAGCCAGAAGGAAAGAAACCACTGGGAAGACCAAGGAGTAGGTCGATGGACAATATTAAAATGGATGTTAGAGAGATAAGATGGGATGTTATGGATTGAATTGATCTGTCTCAGGATAGGGACCAGTGGAGGGCTGTGAACACGGTAATGAACCTTTGGGTTCCATAAAATGCTCGGAAATTCTTGAGTAGCTGCAGAATTGGCTTCTCCTCAAGAAGGGCTCAGCTCCACGAGTGAGTGAGTAAGTAAGTAAGTAAGTAAGTACTGGATAATTTATATCATATATACTACTTATACTATGCCTACATGAGGAATGGGCACGCATGGACGAACATGTCATCTGCTGCAGTTTCAAACTTTTCAGACAATAAAAATGCCGCTTTGCCGCCCAAGCTGGTAAATGTAAAACTTTGTAAGTACTTCACATATAAAGAACAATTAGCAGGTTAACTTTGTAGGAAGAGTTCTGACGCATTCCAAGTCCCAAGTTCGAGTGACTTTTTGTTGACTGCAGTTTGTGTACTGTGGTAGTGACAGCCACATGGTCACTTCCTCTGTCCGCCCTGGCTTCAATCCATGTTGAGTACTGAAATATTCTTGCGTCATTACGACTCAAGTAGGCTGATTGAAAACGCGTTGTAGGCGTGCTGGGTAAATAGCCTATCAGTGTGCTTTAACTACTGCATTAATTTCCATAGGCGGGCTACCATTGTTAAATGCACAACAATGTCCTTGTCCACTATTTGTAATTTCTATAATAAACCAGACCACTCAAACCCGAGCTATTTTTGTTTCATTCCCAGTTTAGTCGCGCGCTGAAAGCATTGTAATGCAGTCCCACAGGGCCAGGGTCGCACCTCTGCTTCGTATTCGGGAGGTCCTGGTTTCAAATACTTATCTGAAAACAAGATAAGGCGACTGATCATTTTGGAAGTTTTCCTCAACCCCTCCAGGCAAATTCATGGATGTATCACTAATCCCTAAGAAGTAGGGGCTATAATAATTCCACCGATTAATAACAATTTACGAATAGGTCTCTCTGTTCATGAAAATACTGTCGCGTGTTGCCTATATAATGCGACAAATTCACGCGGGTTTCGGATTTTGCGAATATTCATTGGCCACTTGCTTTTAAACTACCGAGTATAATTACTATCACTTTCAGTATCACAATCGCTGCTTCTGCTAGAGTCAAAGCCAAACAGAAGACTGATTACTCTTCTAAGGTCAGATGCAAACTGAACTGTTCTCGGAAACTTCTAGAACTCGACTGTCGAACTGTCTGGTCCAAGAGAAAGTCCAAGTCACATTGCGACTGACGGTCTGGTCCTTCGAAGCTGGACTTTTATAACCTGCTTTCGGACGGAATACAGCGCACCATGTAGGAACCTTTTGTCTCGGCTGCTGTTATGAAACGAACCCTCTGTTGTCTCTTCATCTCCGGGGAAACGCGTTTGTCGCTTAAGGCATTCCCAGGCAACGGCCCACTGGTATTGCGTTTCCATGGAAGTATATATTCCGGATTCCTGGCGGCACGCGAAAATATTACTCTTCTTAATGATTTGAAATCAAGTCACGGCCGCTACCTTCATCACGTAGAATCACTTATTCGGTAATTATCTTAGAACTGCAGTTAAATAGAGCACAAAAAATAATTTTCAGTAAAGCAGCGTCTGCAGTTGCAAATGGATTACTTCACCTCAAATGTTTTACTAATTTGGATAAAAGCGCTCATAGGGTCTAATTTTATTAACTATGAAGAAAACTAAAGCGTGCCACTTTAAAGCAGGCCTACTGTTTTGGTTTGAAGTGTCAAGCGGGCAGCCAGCCCACTGGCGCTGTTAGAATCATCACATTTCTCCTGCGCTACTGCCCATGCATCGCTCAAATTCCGACAATGTCTGTGCTTTCGGGTTACAGTCGGAGGCCAAATGACTACTTTCATTGCAGTTTGCAGTATTTTGTCTCTTTGGCTGTGTAGGCCTATTTCAAATATTTTCAGGGTTCTATGTATTTATCGTTGTCAATCATTTAAACCCTTCAAAATGAAGCAGTTCTGGTTACACATTTATAGTTGTGGCCTGTAGGGCCTTTTCGGCTATTAATTGCCATTAATGTTAAAATAGGTACATCCCACATTTAAAAAGAATGAAGAGAGAATTTCTTAAATATAAATATTACTGACTACGTTTTAAATATTCAAACATCGAGAACAAATATCACCGACAAAAAAGTGCAAGAATCATTCCAAATTAAATGAAGAACACACGTCGCCGAATCAACTCTCTTAGCCAGATGCCCTTACTTTACTACCCTGTCGATATTGTCTCACAGTTAGAGCCCTGGAGCCGTAATGCGATCCCCGCTCCGTCTTCCATTAAGCATAAGCCGCCGACATGTGAGCGGCAAAGGGGACCAGGCTCCTACTATGCCGAGAAAACTGCGCTACAAGTTCTTCCCTGTTTTGCGCTGGCCAACAAATGTGTTAATCTGTGAATTTAGTGAGGGATCAAAGATACGTCACAGTCTGAACTCAGTTAAATTTGACAAGAAAATAATACATGGAATGGTATTTTATGGCTTCACTCAACCGCTTACATGTAGGCCACACAATCCAGGAAGATGTACTCCTTTGTTTGTTTGGGTGCTTAGAAAGATGCTCTGCACACAACGCGATCATATGAACGTAAGCCTATATACACAAGCTAAATTTATGCTTCTGATAAATCAGAATACTGACATTGTGTGGCGAATCAAGGAATCCTCAAAGTATTATTTTGCTTCCTTATAATGTTCCCTATATCCTATGCTACTGCAGTTTCTTAAGAGGTTACATGTAAATACAAGTTCAGTAGAAGTAAATTTAAGAAAAATGAGCCGTTTTCGCAGCCTGCGTCGATTATCAGTGGTGTGTTGTCGTACTGTTGTGGGTGCAGGCGTCGCCCAAATCATTACCAATTAATTCTATTTCGGGAATTCTTCGTTTAAAATTTGACACGCCTAGTTAGTGGGCTGGTCAAGAATTTCCGTCTGCTCATCACAGTGTTCACACAATTCCGACAGTAGATCCTACCCAAAGCCAGAAAATCCAAACTCACATCTGAGCATTCTACTTTACCTAGACCCGTTTTAAAATATTTAATATCCTCCCATCTACATCTAGTTCTCCCAAGGTTGTTCCGTCTTTGCAAGCTTCCCAGTACAATACGAGTATTTGTGTAGGGCTATTTAGACTGTGTCCTCACACGCTGTATATCGTGTACATCCACTAGGAAAAAATGGAATTAAACAGTTTTTCCCCTTTGGCGCTACAGCCCCAATTTGGGCCTTGGCCTACCTCCATGAAACTCTCCGTTTCATTTCGGTTTACTACATTTTAGACATGTGATAGAACTCCTTGGGCGGGCGATCAGCTCGTCGCAATGCCTCTACCTGTACACAAACACAGAAAAACGCACACACAAACACTAAACATCCATGCCCTGCGTGGGATTCGAACCCATGATCCCGGCTTCCGAGCGAGCGAATACACTGCATACCTTAGGCCGCTCGGCTATCGTGCGCGGCCGGAGTTAAATATATACTTTTATTTTAATTTGTGAATTAATCATTTTTCAAAAACTGGTTGGAGAATTTATAACAGCTTCCATTGGGCCTATTTGTAAGTTTAAGGTAAACATGGCCGATTCTTATATAATGTAATGTTCACCTACAACTTATATGTTCACTGCAGCTTAGACTCTGCTTAGAATTATGATCTGCATTGAATAATTTAATTAAAGTAATTATCAGGCAGTTCTTTGCACTGAGAACTTAACATAAGTCAACATTCTACGTAAATATGTGCAGCTTGTCGACTTCCGCCGATGTGAACACACGATACTTTACGAAAACAAATTTTAAAAGTAAGAGTTGAGGTTTTCACGGAGGTGAATATGAAGAAAGCAGTCTTCTTGGATATGACGTCGTGTAGATACTGTGTTAACCGAAGATTCGGAGAAACGTATCGCCTCTATCTTCAGGGTAGAAGAAAAAAGAAGAAAATTCGCGAGCGAGGAACCAGCACGAGCTCCTCCGAAACGTCGGTTAACACAATATCTAAACGGCACCGAATCCCAGAAGACTGCTTTCTTCAATTTTCAAAAGAGCTGTACTAAGAGTTACTACACCACTGCAATTATTTCTCTTGTGAAAATATGAATAAAGCTAAGGTACCTAGACAAGATGCGAGTTACGGGTTGTACCTGCAAGGACAGGTTATTAAGAGAACAACAAGAGACGGTGAAGTTTGACTAGCATATTCGGTGTAGCCTGTTCTATTGTCTGACGACGCAAAGGTTTCGATAATTACATCAATAATACTGACATGTTACACGGTACTGTACATACACATTATGACTTGGTGTGCAACAAAAAGAGTACAACACAACACATACAAAATTACCAGCTGTCAACACAACAGCATTTCAAGTCAGCCACCTGTTTCAATTCATCGAACGAGATTAGGTCCTTCAGTTGAAAAAGTTATGTCGTGTTCTGGCCCTACTCTTTACATATACACATGTACATCGATCGCAATTAGCCATTAATTACTCTAAGCCTCTAAAATATACACATTTATACAGACGGAGTAGTCAAGTGTCTGGGAACTGTACGCGTACGGCAACCAGTTACCGCGCCCAGGCCGCTGAGCTCAGCGGTGAGAAGGCAGAGTCGAGGCTGCGGGTGACGGGTGGGCCCGGCGGTTGCGGGCTCGCTTGCTCCAGCACCTGGAGGCCGGGTCGTGCCTTTAACTGGGCTAGCGCGAGAGGACCAAGACGGGCCGGCAGAGGAAGAGGCGTGGGCTTGCTGGGCGGCACATTTCCTTGCACTTTGCCGATCAGAGAGTCGATGCTGAACCCGTTCTTGTTTCCTCCTGAAGCCGTCACCTTGGCAGTGTCGGTGGGACTTGCCGCCACACTGACGGGGACTGGTTTACACGGAAACGGGGGCGGCTGTTGATGGGAGGTCAGGAGGTTGAGGCCCAGAGGCCCTAGCGAGAGACGAGCCAGGTCTGCGGGCGGTAGCAGTGGTACTGCGGGAGGCAGGGGTGACAGATAGGGGTAAGGACCGTGGTGGAGTGACGCGTGATGTGACCCCAGGAGCGCGTGATGGTGATGGTACGGGTCAGGGCCCAGAAAGGAGGCTGCCATGGCTGCAGCATGATGGTCTCGGAGCAGGAAGTCTGGCGGTTGGCGTTTGTATCGCTTCCGGCGTCGCAAGAAGCTGCCATTATCGAACATGTCCTCCGCCATGGGATCTAGGGTCCAGTAGTTGCCTTTACCGGGGTTCCCTGGTTCGCGAGGGATTTTGATGAAGCAATCGTTGAGTGACAGGTTGTGCCTGATTGAGTTCTGCCAGGCGGGAAACTTCTCGCGGTAGTACGGGAACCGCGTCATGATGAACTCGCAGATGCCGCTTAGCGTCAGTTTCTTGTGAGGTGACTGCAGGATGGCCATCGTGATGAGGGCAATGTATGAGTATGGTGGCTTCACCTGTGCGGAGGACGGTGACGACTTCTTGTTCTGTTCTGCCGGCGACGATGGGGCTGATTCCTCCTCATGTAGGCTGCTAGGGTTACCAGCGGCTTGCGACGGTTCCGCCCGTTGAAGACCGCCACTGTTGCTGATGAAGTGCCGGTGGAACTCGGCAATGCTGCTGCTTCTGGCACGCAGCAGTGGCGGCGACGAGTCATCGGGATCATCCGAATCGACGTTGATATCGGGATCCGAGTCATCTGACTCGCCGCTGGCGGACAGCCTGCAGATGACGCCGGGACTGATTGGTGCCGATGCGGACTGTCCTCCCCGCAAATCGAGTGGTGAGTCCACTGGTGAAGAGTGCAGAGTAGCGGTGGCCCCTATCATGGGAAGAGACAGGGCACCCGGAGTTGTCGGGGCGGTTGGGGATGTCACCGTGTCCAGGATCATTGTCGATGCGCTCTGCAGATCACGGTAGCCCAGGAGCAGGTGGCCGCCTTCGTCCATGGCTAAACACATTTGGGCCCGCGAAACGGGTACGGGTCATGCGGACAGGTTATATTCACGACGCGCGCGGCACACACACTGCCACAGGGTCGCAACGTGCACGGCCGGCTTCACACTTCTGTATTTCTCTCCGCCTACCCGCCCCCAGCACCCTATTCGCGCGCCGCGAGGGGCGGTGTCTGCACGGAAGCAAGGCCCGGTCCTATTGGACATGACATGGTTGAGGGGCGGGGCCAGCACCCCAAGTTCTGTGTGCTTTGTGTGGGCGCCGGCAGGACTTCAATGTCTCGTGATGTGATTTCGGTGCAAGATGATCTAATAAGCGAGAGCTGCAATAGCGTCCCGACCAGCAGGTAAGCATTTACAGTAGTAGCACTGCACGTGCTCCAGTATTGCACGCATGCATTTATATTTGCTGAAACAGATACGGTATGTCTATATGCTGAAAAGGCCTACCAGACAAACATTTCACTGGGCTATTGACACAGAATGTGGACTACGGAAGAGGAACAAATGTTCATTAGTTCACAATTGCTGTAACCTCCAGCGTAAAATCAAACAACAGCAATTCCGAAATATCGGCTGTACAGGGCGTTCGTGTTCAAGCCCACAATTTGTGTGCACTCTACACACTAGACTGCCTTCTTTCGGAACTGCGGTGCGCACAGCGAACACATCACAGCGAGTGTGTTCTTGTGTTCACGTGCCAACTTCTCATTAACTTGAACAGCTGTGATTATTTTCTCCCCTCCCCCCCAAATTGTAATTTTAAGGGCCACAATGCGCTCTAACATTTGTTTGTCGTACAAAAAATTGGTTTCATTTCATGTCACAGATTTGTATGTTTAGGTCCGCAGTTCTGTAGCGCAAGCGAACTCTGGACGACGTGAAGTACATGCGTTGGCCGCGCATTGATCTGCAGGGCTTCAAGAGTACAGCCACCCGCTTGTCTGGGGCGAGCTGATATTGTGAGCTGGTGAGTAGCGATGCATCATCAATATTATTGTCATTTGGGCCTAACTAACCGACTTCATTTCCAGTTTAACGTATTTCTTTTAGCTGATGTTAACTAACGGATTGGCACACCTTTACATTTTCCGTTACGTCAACACATGAATGCAAAATACAGGATAATAAATTGAAGAACGCAGTCTTCTGGGATGTGGTTCCATGTAGATATTGTGAAAACCGAAGTTTCGGAGGAAAGTATCGGCTCCATTTTCAGAGTATAAAAAAAAGAAGAAAATCAGCGAACGAGAAACAAGCGTGAGCAAGTGCTAACAGATTAATCTTCTACCCTGAAGATGGAGGCGATACGTTCCTCCGAAACGTCGGTTAACATAATATCTACACGGTGCCACACCCCAGAAGACTGCTTTCTTCATAGTCACCGCCGGGAAAACCTCAAATCTTACGACAATAAATTGGTTTAACGAGAATATTACAGTACTTAAAAATATATATCTTTTAAAGTATTAACATTGTGATCTTATTTAACGTTATGCATAGGTACCTAATCACACAGACACCCAAAGAAACAGAACTACGTAAGGTTATAGTATTTATATTAAAAGCAATTCTAACAATCCTAACTATGTTACGTCATATGTAAAGATATTTCCCTCAGAGAGAGAATTTCTGGGGTAAGCCTGCATCTGGTTCTCAGTTCAAACAGCGACTTTTTCTTGTACTTCATATTAACGGACTGAATTTTATGACGAACACGCAGTGTTTTTAATTTCCATCTAAGGATCGACGTTTAAAATCAGTCTCATACTAAGCTGAGTTCTCCTTGACAAGCCAACAGTTGTTCAGCCACTCAAGATATTTCCAGCATTTCACAGAACCGGCAGGTTCATTTCTATGTTCACAAGCGCCCGCCAATTTCCTCCATCTTGAGCCAGAGGAATCCAGTTCATAGCTCCCATCCTAGACAGCTAGACAGATGGATGTGTTTTGCTTGCTTGTTGCACCGTTTTCATCCTATAAATTATATTTAAGCTAATAACTTGGAAAATTTATTTATACATCTTTCTTGTCATTTAAATGGAGATCCCATCTCTGCTCTGATATTTCCAGCCCTGACGGGGACACATGTACTGATATCTTATTTACTTATGGATCTGAGCCCTTCTTGAGGAGCCGCCAATTCAGCAGCTACTCAAGAATTTCCCAGAATCTTATGGAACCCGAAGGTTCATTACCGTGTTCGCAAGAACCCTCCACTTGTCCCTATCCTGAGCCAGATCAATCCAATCCATACCATCCCATTCTATCTCTCTCAGATCAATTTTAATACTGTCCGCCCACCTACGCCTTGCTCTTCCCAATGGTCTCTTTCCTTCTGGCTTCCCCACCAATATCCTATACGCATTCCTCGTCTCCCCCATTCGTGCTACATTCTATACAAAATAATACGAAACTCTCAATGCAGGATTGCCTGTTCTCTGTGCAACCGTAAATTTAAGTTTATAAGTTTTTGTTACGCTTGGCGCTGTGTTCCATACAAATACGTTCTCCAATCAATATCTGCCGATGATTTTCCGGTTTCTTTCTTCTCCTTCGGTAGTTTCAGTACTTTCCCTTCTGTCCAATTATTTGTCTCCTATTTCTGGTCTGTTCCTTTCTTTGTTTATTTGTTCGTTTACTCCGACATTACTTTCCTCCGCTGCTCCTTGAGTGGATTTATCGTCATCTTTGCCGTGACCTTCGCAGTTCCGTCCGGATTTATCAGATTAAAAGCTATGCGGGGAATTTTATTGGTTCTTTGGATGTCTGCGAAAATAGTTGACCCATTAAACTGATCTTAGGACTGTACTGGACATTGTCCATTTACTGAGTTATGCATGCAAGTTTATTTGACGTATAATGTTAAGTTATTAATAGTGTTAATTATTTCATATAATATGTATCTGTCACTAATGCAACTCGTTATATGTTTCGGCCGTATATGGCCATCATCACGCGTCAAAACTAAATGTAGATATGAAATTGTAACACAGCACAGAGAGCAGCAGTGCTGCCATGGCAACAGGCACCTCACGATGCTCGTGTACGGTCGAAACATGTTGTGAACGCAGATGTGACTATAATGAGTTGCATTAGTGACGGATATATATTATATGAAATAAATGATATACTGATGAAAAATAATGCCTTAATACAATATTAGTATTAGTGACTGCAGGTGGAATCGAAATTAGAACCTTCAAACAGTAGGCTAGCAGCCTATTCCGTTGATCTGTGATTAGAGCACACCTACTAATTTAAGTCAGCCTGCCCGATACCAACATCGCTAATAATAGTAATAAAAATAATGAGGAAGTATTAATATTATAATGCCCGGTCGGGAGTGCAGCGGCTCCCGAAACGCCTTGCCTATCAAATAAGCTTATATCTGAGTCAATGAAAACTGTACAACATTAGAATAACAGGCCAATTATCAATTATCATAAACACGAGTATTATTATCTATAACGTCCTGTGTACGTTTCTACTTCACTATCACAATACTTCTTGCCTTGCTGATCTCGGTGAAGTGTCTGCTGATCTGCTCGGCAGATCTGCTCATCGCGACTTGAACACGCGACCTTCCGGCTTGTAGCATAGTTCTCAACCAACTACGCTACCCTTGTAGACCTGTCTAAAATGTGCCTTCTTGGCCCGTTTATTCAGTTAGCTGTGCAAAGGTNCTGTTAGAGGCTGAGACGATCCCAGGACCATAGTGCGGCTGGAAGGATTAGGTCAAGTGAAAAAATCCAGTGACCTCATCGCGACTTGAACACGCGACCTTCCGGCTTGTAGCATAGCCCCTCAACCAACTACGCTACCGCTGTAGACCTGTCTAAAATGTGCCTTCTTGGCCCGTTTATTCAGTTAGCTGTGCAAAGGTTTATTGGTCTATTTCTCGCTAATTGCTTGCAGCCGTTGAGCCTGTGACTGCAAGCAACTAAGCAGTCATTGTCGTTTACAACTACTGAAAAATAATTCGTCATTCTAAAATAATTTAAGTGTCACTGAACTCAAAGTTATGTTTAGAGATAAATTCCTCCCCCGCCTCCATGAAACGATTACGAAAAAAATGCTCTTTCAGCCCTCCCAAAAATAAAAGAAGTCAAAGAAAAGTTTGTAGTGAGGAGGTTANTTTTGTATATGCTGCTGGCCCTTGCCAGTGCAGTCTTTCTCAGGTCAGTCCCGTGGGACTCGAGACCATTCAAACCCCTTAAATAGGCCTTTTGTGGACCGATTATGGAACACCTTTCACAACAGTTTGGTTTTCCCGTTGTCATAAAACGCTTCGAACAATTCGTTGTAACCATGGAGACTCCCTGTTAGAATTCCAATACTGCATTACATTCTGCTGTCTAGGAAATGTTGTCCGTTGACCAGCAACGACCGCTGAAATATGTGATCTCCTTTTCATTTGCGACGTGACGGATGTTCCACAGTCCGGCTTTTACGCAGCATGTCACAATATCATTGTATAGGAATCTTGCAATGTGAGAAGTTCACATTTATGGCAAGCTTTAGCGCAGAATCACGATTATTGGAAAATTATTCTAATTTATTTGTTTATTTACGAAGGGCGTGAATCTAATGATAAGCAGTAAATGTCCAGAATGTAGCTTATTGCTTGAGACGTGCCGCGGATGTTACAAACGCTGCAGTAAAAAAAGTAAAGTAAAGCTATCCCTGTACCACGCCGTGAAGGCCCATAGGGTTGTGAGACGTTGAGGGACCCACATTATCTTAACACCGCTCTTTTCCTCTCGCCTTTGCTTGTATCGGCGCAGTCGGAATGGTGCTATCCCTGCTACACCTGTTTCTACCTTAGGACAGTGTATGATGACTACTGGAAGTTGTCCTCACAGATCAAACTAAGGAAGATCGGTATAGGTACGGGAAACTAGCTGGGTCGGTTTGCATGAGTCTCAGGGTAGCGATGCCGAAGAAAGCGTTTTTCTGAGAGTTG